TTTTTTTTTTTTTTTTTAAAAAGGTACCTCTCACTCTCTGAGCATATCCACATTCTTATTAAATGAATTGAGAAACCAAAAACATTTGGACAACATAGAATATGTTTATATATGTTCAGGACTAAAGAACTTTTAGATGTTGAAAATGTATTTTAAGGAAATAAGTGAATAATGTGTGTAAGGGATAAAGGAAATACAGTTCATAAATTTTTAACTGTTTCTAATACAAAAGTAGACATTAAATACATATGATCATGGTAACTGAGAAACACACAAAAAGAGTGTAGTTTGGGCTTGAGAGCTTTATTTGACCCATTCTCCAACTTTGGTAATGCATTTGACGCTTCACATAGGTAGTACATTCATTTAGGACGCTGAAGTGATGCTGAGCTATAACTCTTATCCATGTGAAGTAAAGGTGTCACAGGGGAACATGGACCATTGCTCAATGGGATAGCCTGTGTCACTGTATACTCACCTGGCAATCTGCATCAGAACAAACACTGCCAACAGCAGATAACTCTGTTCCACTCCTGGAACCACAGAAGCGACACGCTTCTGAGCTACTCGTGGTGGGTTTGCCTAGGTTCAAGCAGAAAAATAAAAATCCTTCTGATGGATATGTTTTCCACATATTTTAACAGAACTAAATTTTAAAAAGCAAACTAGGTTTATATCAGTTGCTATCCTTGGTAAATCAGCCTGACAGTTTTAGAACGGAAGGTTTCTAAGTTGTCCTAATTATAAAGTAAATAATGACACACACAAAAAAGAAATTAAAGACCTATCTGAAGCCAAACACATTCTTGACTAACATATTTTTTTCAGTGAAAGAAACAGACTAGACTTCTAGTCAAGTTACCAGACTGAGAAGATGTGACAAGCCTCTGACTCCAAATGCACAATACCATAAAAAAAAAACCCAAAAATTAAATAAAACTACACAGAAGTTAGGGAAATCTTTAAGTATCTTTATATAACAAAATTATAAGGCATAGTATAAAGCCTATCATCAGAGTATGAAACTTGAAAAACAGAATTCCTACCTCAGGAACTCTGCAATTTGAAAAGGAATTTAAATATGTTTGAAATACTTAAAGAAGAAACAGAATCCATAAAACAAGAACAGAGCAATAAGAAAAAGAATGTGAAGGTTTGAAAATTACAGACCAAGCTGATTTTTAAACACAGATGTAAAAATCTAACTATAATTAATATCAATTATTGAATTCAGCAATATTTACAGAAAAATCTATTTAAAAAGGATAGTTTATATCATGACTACAAGGATGGTTTGACATTAGAACATTTATTAATGTAATATACAGCACTGACAGATTATAGGAGGAAGAAATTAGCTATAAGAAAAGAAGGTCATGCCTTTGCAGCATGAAAAGTCACCCTAGAATTCAATTGATTCAGATTTACGCCTAACTCCAACATTGGAAGTTTGTGTCAGTCAAATGACAGACTGCAGATGTGCTGAAAACTGAGAATTTGTAAGATTCAACATAACTTTGAACTAGGAATATACAAGATTTACTTTAGAAAAACAGCAAAATGAAAACTATGTTTTAGAGATAAAAATACATTTAACATACATAAGTTACTTTTTGTTTAATGTTTATTCATTTTTGTTAATTACTTTATTGCTATCAATGGAAACAGTACCATTCACAAAACCTTCAGAAGCATTAGGTCTACAAAAATCTCTAAAAATATCATGAAATCATACAACTTTATAATAAATAGAGATCTTAGTGATCAACAAGTACAGCAATTTTTATTGTGGGGCAACAACTAGCAGAACTAGAAGGGAATTATCAGTAGAAATCTATTTTATCTATGGAGCCCCATTAGTTGTGACCCTCTCACTTTATAAATGAAGTCAATGAGTTCCAGAGAGGTTAGGTGACGTGCTCGAGGCCACACAGCTAGTTAGTGGCATATCAGGTTTTTTGACTTTTGGTCTAATGCTCTCTCCACCATAGAACACTATATATTTAGTAAATATAATAACGTAGACAGTGAACAATGATGTCATAATTAAACATCAGAATATCACTCAAAATTATTCACAGTTTAGTTATAATCAGTCAGCATGGTTTAATCTTTTTTGTGAGTTTTAAAGGCGTGGCTTAATCTTTAAACCTTTTACCTGTGTGTTCTCGGAATTCCACCATTGCCTTCATTGTTTTAGAATCTGCTAGTGCCATCAACCAGAACAATTTGGTTCTACCACAGCCTTCATGAAGGTCAACCTTTATAGCTTCTTCTTCTTCTTTGAAGACCTATTATTTCATTAAAGAACAGGGAAAAATATGCTTATTTATCACACTGAAAGGGGGAGTATAAAATTTAATTATTCAATAATAATAATGGCTTTCATTTAAGTACCCTAAGAAGTTTTGAATATTTCCAATCTTCTCTTTAATCTTCACAGCAGTCCCTTTTTTATAAATGGAGAAATTAAGTATTTCTAAACATAAAACAACTTGCTATTTATATATGGTAAGTGAGACAGCTGTGAACTCAACCAAGGTCTTTGATTCCAAAGTCCACTTTCTCCCCCTACAACACCAAGCCTCTTCGACACACATTTATTTCAAAATTCTCTGAACATATTTTATGCTCCAGAGACAAAAATCTTCACCTGTCTTTGATGAGTTTTGGTTCTTCGATGAAGGTGAAGGAATCGGTCACAGTCTGTACATAAATTTCCACAGACATTGCATAAAATGATTGCTGCTGTTTCACCATCATCATGGTTATCACACATAGGCTAAAATAAGACATTTCCATATGTTACATTAGATTAACAAGAAAGTCCCAGACTCTCAGACAAACTGAATGTAATTTATTTACAAAAATAAATGGTTATTCTGAAGTCTATTAAGAATTCAGAATCTGAATATTAGATAGAAATTATTGCAAATGTACTTAACTATAAAAATTATCTCTCAAAACTCCAAATTCAATGATTAACGCACTTTGCAGGTTCAATGATTAATACAATGAACAGGTATACTTTGTTACTTAGAGACTTAAGAAATGTCTGCCCCATTATGTATCCAAACATTCTGTATGCCAAAGGAATAAACAGTTTATTTTTGAAACTTGAACATTAATAAGAAAATGGTAAAGGGCCTATAGAAAGTTTTCCCTTCTAGTGAACTTAAAGACACCCATCAAACCTACTTAAGTATATATGTGAACAGGTGGTGTGTCATGTTGCCTGTGTTATTGCTTTATTTCCTTCCTACTATAAGACTGACTACATTTTAGGAAAATATCTAGCCACTGAATCAGACTCTGGCTAAAAATAAATTTTGATATGATGCAAACATGACTCAGAGAAGAAGAAGAAAGCTCTTTTATACACTTAAAAGCCCCTGAAGTTTCCATATACTATGAAGAAGGGATTCTCAGTGAAATAGACTTGTGAGATGAACTTGGCCAAAGGGACACACACAGTCTTTCAAGAGATCCACTAACTGTGTACATTGATGTGTTTTTTGTTTGTTTGTTTGTTTTTAAGCTAAGCTAAAGCTTACTGTAAAGGAAAGCAAGATAAATTTTTACAAAATTCTGATCTCACCATTTGTTTTTGTTGTCCATCTTTTCCCATCCATCTCCCCGAGGAGAGACGATCTACGTGGTCCTGATCAAGAACACATAGGGATGCGAGAGCAAGCCAGAGCTGTTGAAAGGGAAAGCTGTTACACTACTGAATTTTCAGGAAAGACTTATGAAATGCTGACTGTGACACATCACAACAGCTCAATAAATGCTGGTTGATTTTGAAATACACAGATACTCAGTGGCACTCAAGTCTTCCTGATGTGGTAGCAGGTATACACGATCACTGTCCTATGTGCCATGCATACAGAAGGCACTCAGATATCTACTGAACAAGTGACTTTTCTCTGATGAACCCCCGTCTTCTATCTGACAAATAAAATTATCCTTTATTGTTCTACTATGTAAACAACATATGAATAAATGAATTGGCATATTTAATATTTACTGTACTAATGCCTTCTGCATATTTTTCCATTTAGTATCATCTGACTGAAGCGTTAAATGCCGAAGAAGGTGGTACAGCAACTGCTAAATTGTGTACAGTCTCATGAGTATCAGGTACACATTAAATCCTTCTAGATAATAAAAGTTCCTCAGAAGTCTTTGTTGCCCCAGAAGGCCTAATACTATACTCAGTGCACTTTGTCAGAAATACATAAATGTCTAACAAGCTTTAGAAAATGTTCTCAAAAATATGGCCGGGCACAGTGGCTCATGCCTGTAATCCCAGCACTTTGGCAGGCCAAGGTGGGTGGATCACCTGAGGTCAGGAGTTTGCAACCAGCCTGACTAACATGGTGAAACGCCGTCTCTACCAAATACAAAAAAAATTAGCCGGGTATGGTGGCACATGCCTGTAATCCGAGCTACTTGGGTGGCTGAGACAGGAGAATTGCTTGTACCTGGGAGGCGGAAGTTGCAATGAGCCAAGATCG